TGCCAGGAGGACGGGATGAGGCCTTGGTGTGAGGGCGGGGCCTGGGGGTGGGGCTGGGCCTGGAGAGTGGGTCGAGCCCAGAGTTGGGGTGGGGCTTGGAGTGAGGGTGGGGCAAGGCCTGTGATGGGAGAGGGTGCTGGAGGGCGAGGGAGAGGCCTGGAGGGAGAACGGACCTAGAAGGAAAGAGATAACTGGGAGTCAGGGCGGAGCCCGGAGAGGCTAGGGAGACAGGGTTGAGAGGATTGGGGCGTGGCCTGGATGGTGGGGGCAGAGCCCAGTGCAGTTTGGGGCGGGGTGTGTCGCGGATGCTTTAGTGGTGGTAGATGGAGACTAAGGGGCCGGTTCAGGATGGAGCGGATCTTACCCATAGGGGGAGGCCGTGGAGAGGCTGCAGGAAGAGTTTAAGAGATGCGGCTTGTAGTGGAGTGGGTTCGGGGATGGACAGAGCTAATGAACTGGGGCGGGGCTTAGAGGGAGGTGCTGAGGGTTGTGTTAAGAGTAACTGGGTCTGGGAGGATAGTGTTGAAGAGAAAAAGGGGGGATGGGGTGGTTCTTGTGGACTGGGGCCGTGCCTAGATGAGCCTGGGGCGGGGCCTACCGGGATAGAGTCCCGAGATGAGTGAGAACAGGGTCCTGAGCTGGGGCCTGGGGCCTTGGAGGTCTGGAGCCGGGACACTTCAGAGGACGGGGCTTAGAGGCTCGGGAGGTGCGCAGGATGGGGTAGGGGTTTGGAGGACCATAGGAGCAGGTAGTTCTGGGGCCCAAACTTGGACGCCCGCGGCCAAGATCTCGGAGATAGGTAGGGGTCATGGAGACGGGGCGGGACTTAGGGAGACAGTATTGGCTTAGGGGCTCCGGTGGAGGCAGCGCGTTAAGGAGCAAGGAGAGTATTCCTACGGTGGGATACTTAGGTGTGAGCGGGGCTTGGCAGCCGGGGGAGATGGAGGGGGAAGCCTCGGGCCGGGGTGGGATTAAGGCTGGCCTGAGGCTTCGAAGTCGGGTTAGGCTGACTCTCCAGAGAGTGCGATTGTAAATTGGGATGCCTGAAGCCTCAGAGATGTCAGCGGGTTTTGTGGCTTGCTGGGATGCAGTGGGTGGGATGTGACGGTTAGCCCCCTCTCGCCTCCCTAATCTGCCTTCGCAGGAGACGCCAACCAACGAGCTGAGCGTCCAGGGCCCCCCCGAGGGGGACACGGAGCCGTCAACGCCTCCAGCGCCCCCGACGCCTCCCCACCCCGCCACCCCCGGAGATGGGTTTCCCAGCAACGACAGCGGCTTTGGTGAGGGGCGGGGCCGGGCCTGGAGGCGGGGCAACATTTGGGGCGGGGCATGGGGGCGGGGGCAAGAGGTGGGGCGGGACCTGGGGCGGGGCGATGGTGCGGGAGGGCGGGGCCTGGTGAGGGGGCGGAGTCAGAGGGCGGAGCTGAAGTTGGGGGTCTGACCTCATCCTCTCACATTGCTTTCCCACCCCCCACCGCTAGGAGGCAGTTTCGAGTGGGCGGAGGATTTCCCCCTCCTCCCCCCGCCAGGCCCCCCGCTGTGCTTCTCCCGCTTCTCCGTCTCGCCTGCGCTGGAGACCCCGGGGCCCCCCGCCCGGGCCCCCGACGCGCGGCCCGCAGGTACCGTGCTTCAGACCCTCTGCCCGTTTCTCCCTGTCCCCATCTGTCTCTACTTTCTTGTCCTCATCTCTGAATTTCGCTGCCTCTGCTAAGTCTCTTCCTTTCTCTCAGTCTACACTCCTATGCTCACCAGTGAGACCCCACCCAACTCTGGAACCGGCTAAGACAGGCGGTGTCCGTCAGATGGGCTTGGGCAGTCACACCCCTCCCCGAACCTCAGTCTCTCCTTCTGTAAGGATCCCCACCGGGTCTGGCCCATCTTGCCGCATCTCTGGGCTCAGACTCCTGCCTGGCGCTTGCCAGATCCCGATCCCACCTCTGTTTGGGGGCACATGTTGATCAGAGGCAGACAGGGACAGAGAGGAAACCTGCATGCTCAAAGCTGGGTAGTATGAACCAGAGGAGAGAGAGCATGGCCTAGGAGTCCCAGAGGAGTAACAACAATGGTACCACCACTACTGCTACGAATAACAAGCACTCCTATAGAGCCTACAATGTGCTTGCCACATCTTAACCCATTTAATCCTTGCTGCCATCCCGTGGGCTGGATTCTAGTCTCATCCCCATTTTACAAAACAGAAAACTGACGCAGGAGAGGAATGAGGAGCCGGGATTCAAACCTGGCTGCCTGGCCTCTGGGTTGGTGCCCTCTCCAGTAGTCAGCATTGGCCAGATCCCTTTCTTGTGGCATTTCTCATATGCCATGTCACCAATCCTCACCACCACTGTGAGGGAGGGTCACGTCACCTGTAGTTTCTGACTGTCCCGAAGCTAAGGCCACCGTGGCAGAGAGGAGGGCACAGCCACGTCTTACCCGGCGGGACTGGGGCTGGATTTGGGCTCTCTGCTGCCCCCTGCTGCCGCCCCAGAGAACACCCCTGCATGCAGGGCTTGCACTGGGCTGGGCAGGTGCAGGTGTTCCCGGAGGACACAGCTGAGAATCTAGAAGGCGTAACTGGACCTTTTCAGGGAGGGTGCCATTCCTGCTCCCCCAAATCACGCCCGAGTCTGGGTGTTGGCCCTGCCACTTCTCGGCTGTGTGACCTAGGGCAAGTCACTTGCCCTCTCTGTGCGTCAGTTCCCTCATCTGTAGAATGGGGATAATAACAGGATCTAACTCATAAAATTGTTGACGAGTTAAATGGCTTCATCTGCCCCACGCTCGCAGCCCAGAGCCTAGTCTCTAGCAGTGGTCTCTAACGGGTAGCTGTTACTGCACTTAGTTAATTTTTATTTATTTATTTTTTTCCCCCAAAGCCCCAGTAGATAGTTGTATGTCATAGCTGCACATCCTTCTAGTTGCTGTATGTGGGACGCGGCCTCAGCACGGCCGGAGAAGCGGTGCGTTGGTGCGCACCCAGGATCCGAACCCAGGCCGCCAGCAGCGGAGCGCGCGCACTTAACCGCTAAGCCACCGGGCGGCCCCACTGCGCTTAGTTAAGTGGCTGCTAATTGAGCAGCGGCTGTGTGCAGGGGGATTCAGTGCCGAGCAAGATCAGTGAGGCCCACCCCACCCGCAGACATGACCCCACAGTCCCACAGTCAATGGAAAACTGCAGACTGGGGGTTGCTGAGAAAGCAGACGCCCGAAGAAAGGGCTTTGTCTCTGAGGTGGAAGCGCCATTTGTCCAGGGCCCTGAAGGCTTGGTTGTCGTTAACTAGGTGAAGGGGAAGAGGACAGAGGGCTAGCAGATGGAACAGCTTGTGGGAAGAGCCCGAGGCAGGAGAGAGCTTGGCCGGTTCCCGGAACAGAAGGGAGGCGGGTGTCTGGGGGTACTTAGTGGGGCAGAGGGAGGGTGGAGGGGGTGAGGCGAGAGGGGGCAGAGCTGACCATGTCGGGCTTGAGGGGGTGCCGAGGGGCAGGGACTTTATCCTGGGGGCACTGGGGAGCTATGGAAGGGCTGTGAGCTGGGGAAGGGCAGGTCAGCTCTGGGTGTAGAAAGACCCCTCGGGGCCACGTGGGGACTGATGGAGGCAGGGAGGCTGAGGAGGAGGCCAGGGCCAGAATCCAGGACGGAGAGTCCAGGCAGAGTCAAGGGCAGGAGGGACGGGCCTGAGGGCTGGCTCTCTGCTTGACTGCATCCTCAAGTTTCACCCCAAATGTCACTTCCTCCCTGAGGTCTTCTCTGAGGCCCCTGTGAGGACAGGGTGGGTGGGTTCCAGGGCATGGGGACACCGGCCAAGTGGTGAGTCAGGGGTGAGGCTGGCCGGCAGGCGAAGATGACTTCACCTTTAGTCACTAGGAGAGAAGAGAGGGAGGGCCCAGTTGTGCGGAACCCCAAATCCCTTCCCTCAGTGGGCAGATGTTCCCGCTGCTGCTGGGCTGGAAAGCTGCAGAGCCTGTTCCCGAGACCGTGGCGGGGGGCCCAGGTGGGGCCCCCTTCTTTCTCAGACCCTGTGCTCAGCGTGGCTCTGCCCACTTGGCCAGGTCCCCGGGTGTCCCAGTGTCTCCCACTCCTTTGAAAAGGAGACAAGCATCACGCTTCCCATTGGAAGAGACGGTGACCGAGGCTGAGGGACAGGGGTGAGGGCCGTGACCCGACCCAGGCTGCTCGGGTCAGAAGTGTGGCATGGAGAATGAGGGCACCCATGTCTGGCCCTCGGTGAGAACCTCCACCCACAGACCTGGGTTTTCTGGATCTGTGCAGTGGGTGGGAGCTTCCTCACCAGGTTTGGTGGGGGCCCACGGGGAGAGATTTTTCCATGGGGGGAAGGGCGCTTTGTGCCAGGCCCTGTGCCAGACGCTGGGGATGCAGCAGTGACAAATACAGTCCGGTCCTCCTGATCTTACCATCTAGAGGGACAAGCAGACAGGAAGCTGTGGACAATGACTGGGATTATCTCGAGGAGAAACGTGAAGAAAAATAACCATGGGGCAATGAGATAGAATGACTGGTGGGGGGAGCGGGGAAGGGGGAAGACTGTGTGACTGAGAATGGCCGGGAAGGCCTCTGAGGAGGGGACATTGCTGCAGGGACCTGACTTACATGGATGGGCTAAGGAAAGGGTGGTCCAGGCAATGGGATTGGCAAGTGCAAAGGCCCTGGGACAGGAATGTGTTTGGAGCACAGGAGGAACAGTGAGGAGGCATGCACTGTGGGTGGAGTGGAGTGAGTGAGGGGGAGAGGGGTAGGTGACGACCGAAAAGGGATGGAGCAGATAGTGTGGGGCCTTGTGGGCCACGGTGAGGGTTTTATTTTGACTCCAAGTGAGCCAGACGCCATGAGCCTGTCCGCCCGGTAATTCGGTTTCTCTCTCCACTGCCTCCATCCTCAGGCCCCGTGGAGAACTGACTCCCCGAAGACCTGAACCCCCTGCACCCCCAGAAGAGGAGATGAGAGTAGAATCCTCTGTGGACGATGGAGCCACTGCCGCCACCACAGATGCCGCCTCCGGGGAGGCCCCTGAGGCTGGGCCCTCCCCCTCCCCCACCATGTGCCAAACGGGAGGCCCTGGCCCCCCGCCCCCCAGCCCCCCGGACGGCTCCCCCGACCCCCTCGATCCCCTCGGTGCCAAATGAGGCAGGAAGCCCCTCGCCCCTCCCTGGAGAGCCGCCTTTCTTGGAACTGAACTGAACTCTTTCGGGCCTGGAGCCCCTCGGCACAGCAGAGGCCCCTCCTCACCCACTCCCGGCCCCAGAAGGGCTGCAGGCTTCGGGGACCTGGACCCCCCATCTCGCGTCTCCCCTTCCCCGCCCCAGCCTGGCCCCTGGAGGGGCCTCTGGTTCAAACCTTCGCGTGGCATTTTCACATTATTTAAAAAAGACAAAAACGACTTTTTGGAGGAACGCGGGGCCTGTGTGTGTTTTGGGGGCGAAGAGGGGAGGATGCAGGGAGCGGGTGCTGCCCAGGAGACGCCGCCATCCTCACGGCCCCGTTTGAAGGATGGGAAGGTCGAGGCTCAGACAGGCGGAAACGCATGCGCAGTGGCGAGGCCCCGGCTGCTTCGCTTGTCTGGATCCCCGCTCTGTGTCTGCTGTTGGCATCGCCGACTTCGCCTGCGGCCTCAACTTACGACGAGGAGCCGGCGATGGCTGGGGAAGGTGGCGGGTTATGGTCAGAGCTGTGTTTCCACCGGGGGCCTGTGGTGGTGGCCAGAAGCTGCCCCAGGGCCGGCGCTGGTGAAGGGGCTGCTCAGAAGCGACCCGCCAGCGCCCATGCTGGGGCACGGCCACATCCCACACACCTCAGGACGGCACTGCCTGTCCCTCGAAGGTCAGGGTCCATCTCCTGCCCACAGCGGCTGTGCCTCAGTTGACCTGTTTCTCCCTGTGAGCACCCCTATCCCTGACATCCTCGTGTCTTGCCTTCCCCTCTAACCGCGTCTCTCCACTCACATTTCTCTCCGGTTTTCTCCGTTTAGCTTCCCGCCTCCCCGGCCCCGGTCCTCGTCTCCACCTGTCCTGGTGTTCTCCCATCTCTCCGTCCCTGTCTCTCAGCCTCCTTCTTCCGGTCTGATTCTATTTCTATGAGTTTCTCTCTGTCTCTACTTTTTTCTCCTTGTCTGTGTCTCCCGGTCGCCTTCCTGTCTCTGTTATGTCTTTCTGCCTTGTGTTTTTCTCTTGGTTTCTTTTTCTCAGTTTCTCCCGGGCTCTTGATGGATGCTGCCTCCATCTGTTTTTTTTCCTCTGACTGGGTCTGTCTTTGTATCTTTGATCTCTTGGCTTCGACCTGTCCTCCGTCACCTTGGTACCAGATTCATTTGCATATTTGAGGGATGCAGTTTGGATGAGAGAGGAGGGAAGGGGTCAGGAGTGGGTACCCAGCTGGGATGCTGTGGCCTCCTTGCGTAGGAATTCAGGTGATGAGGGCATTAGGGTCACATGCAAGGCTGGGGGAGGGAGAGAGGGAGAGGGAGAGGATTAGGGTTTTGTTTCTTGCCACTACCACCACTGCTGGTAGATCTGGGGGTGCTCAGACTGTTCTTGGGACATGCCTGCCTAGGGTGGGTGCTGCATGGAACCACTCCAGAGAGGGAGGTGAGGGCCCGGCCTCCTGGGTCCAAGGGAGGAGGGACTGGAGCCCAGATTCCCGGGTCTGAGGGAGGAGGGGCCGGAGCCCAGATTCCAGGGTCTGAGGGAGGAGGGGCTGGGGCCTGGACTCCCGGGTCCGGGGGAGGAGGGGTGTGTTAGTTCACTAGGATTGCCTTAACAAAATACTACAAATTGGGCGGCTTAAACTACAGACATTTATTGTCCCACAGTTCTGGAGGCTAGATGTTCAAGATCAAGGTGTCGGCAGGGTTGGTTCCTTCTGAGGCTGTGAGGGAGAATCTGTTCCCTGCCCCTCTCCTGGCTTCTTGAGGTTTGCTGGCCATCTTTAGTGTTCCTTGGCGTGTAGAAGCATCCCCAATCTCTGCCTTCATCTTCACATGGCGTTCTGCCCGTGTGTGTGTGTCTCTGTGTCCGAAATATCCCTTTGTATAAGGACACCAGTCCTACTGGATTGGGGCCCACATTAATGACCTCATTTTAACTAATTATATCTGCAATGATCCTGTTTTCAAATAAGATCACATTCTGAGGTACTGGGGGTTAGGACTTCAACATATGGATTTTGGGGGGACACAATTGAACCTGTAACAAGGGGGTTGGGAATTTGGGGTCCTGGGAGACGAGGGAGCTGAAAGCCAGAATTCTCAGTCCTTGGGGAGGAGATGGATTGGGGGCAAAACTGAAGGACAGTTTTGAGGTGCTGGTGTCTGTTTGAATATTCCCCAGGCATCTCCAGCTTAACTTGGCCAAACTAGAACCAGTGATTTTTCCCCCATAAATGCCCTCTTCCACCATCTCAGTAAATGGCATTGCCATTCACCAGTTGCTCAAGCCGGAACCCCAGAGTTGACCCAGCCCTCAGCAAGTCCTGCTGGCTCCTCTTCCCAAACGACTCACGTGGGTCCACTTCTCTCCACCTCTCCAGCCACAGCTTCCTGCGCTGGATGACTGCACAGCCTCCTGACTCACCTCCCTGCTACCGCTCCTGCTCAGCTCCCAATCGTTCTCCTGCAGCCACCAGAGGGCCCTCCTACAGCCTCAACCCAAATGCATCTCTCTCCTGCTTCACGCCCTTCGATGGCTTCCCATCAGCTAAGAATACGGCTACCCAGGCCCCACATGATCAGGCCCATGTGTCCCTTTCATTTCCTGTCACTCTCCCCCTCCATCTCCAGTCTACAGGCACACAGCCCTGCTGTCAGTTACTCCAACACACCATGCCTTTTCCTGCCTCTGCACATGCTGTTCCCTCTGCCTGGAATGCTCTTCCAGGGCATCTCCACTGAGCCAGGTACTTTCCCACTAGCAGGCACTCAGTACCTATGGGTACATTCCATGGAGGAGAGCAGAATAGGGTGAGATAGTGGTGGGCCCCTCTATTTACCCAGAGACCTCATTTTCTATGACCTTCTTGGGTCAATGACTCCATTTCCCTTGAACCTCTGGGAGGAGTTGCGAACTCCACTTCCCATCAGCCCCTGGGGGTTGAAGTGGTCAGGGCTTCTTATCCCAACCAGCACAAAGGTAGGGGACGAGCCTCAGGTAAACCCGACAGTGCATCTTGAGAAACTACAACTCCCAGGAGACGTCGAGAGCAGCTCTCCCGTCAGTGGGGCGGCCAGGGCCGCAGAGCTCACTGGGAATTGTAGTCCGACAGTCTTGTCATAGCTGAGGATGGCCGTGCTATTACAGCGCTATGGGGTCTTCACGCCGGCGGATGCGTGTGGCCAACGGCGGGGCCAGGACCAAGGCTGGAGATTCAGGACAATTCCCACCCCACCCGGGGCACTCAACAACTGGAGGCCTGACCCCTCGAGGAAGCAGTGTAAGGGCGGAGCTGCAACCCCGGCCCGGCCTGACAGGCTTCCTTTCAGCCGGGTCTCAGCCCCAGGGCCAGCCTGGAGTTGTGGTTTCTCGTACTCAGTCTCCTCAGCTGCAGATCCGGGCGTAGGCAAGTGACATGGAGTCTCCCCACCTGCGACCCCAGGATCCGCGCGCCTTTGTTCTTTGGGGACACCATGCATGCCCCAAGCTGGAGGGCAGAGGGGGACAGGCCCAGACCTGGGGCTCAGGGGCACCCCCCCAAGACGTCACCCTCAAAGAAGGCAGTCCTTACACTTCGGAGGCCGTCAGATTGCCGGGAAAGCAGATGTCACAAAAATGCAAGTTCTCAGCACTAAAACACCCAGCAGGCCCGCCCTCTCGGCCCCGAACTCCTGCCTGGCCGAGCTCCAGGGATACCGTATCAGCAGGGCCTAGGCACTGGCAGCACCCATCCTCCGGGCCTTCCTTCTTTTCCCTGGCTTCGTCCTTCCTGCGCCCTCCCAGAGTAGGTCACCTTCCCAGCTCTTCCGGCTTTCTCGTTTTCCCTCAGAGCACCAGCGCGGCTCACAGCCCCATCAGACACCACTGCTGCCCCTAAGAGACCACAAGCCCGTGAGAGCAAAGGTAGGACGAGCACCTGCCTGGCTCCTAGCTGTCAGGTACCGTCTCAGATGAACGCAGGACCTCACCCAGGAACCTCTGCATACCTGCGATCTAAACGCTGTGCAATTCTAACTCAACACCAACTTGGCCACATGCAACTTCTCCCTCTACTCCACCCCCGCAGGCTGGGGGTGAAACCAGAACTGAGCTACCCCGGAGAGGTCCCCACGGGGCTACAGCACCCGTCCCTCACGCACTGTGAGAGCCCCCAACAGGGGCCAGTGCTCCGGGCCCTCGTCTTGATGGGGCTGACCGGCCGGCTCCACCAGGCACCTCAGCTCTGTCAACCCCAAGAAATGAGGGGGTCCACAGGCCACGAGTGGTTAAATAATTAATAAGATTACCAACAGTGTGTTAATTACAAACAATGAGAGAGGAACTAGAGGTGGTGAATCTTCCAAATGGGGAACCAGGATCCGCGGGCCCAGGGGTCCGGCCACCCAGGCAGGGCAGCTCCGTAATAAATAATGGAGTTGGGGGCAGAGAGTCAGGGCTGCTCCTGCTTCTTCTTGACCGAAATCCGCTTCTTCCTTGCCGCCAGCATCTCATAGAAGGGGTCCACACTCACAGCTGCCCTGCGGAAGGGGAGGGATCCCAGGGTGAGGGCCAAGGAGTCGGGGCCCCAGGCCCGCCCTCCCTGAGGACTCCGGGGCGCAGGCTCACTGGATGGACTTGATCCACTCGTCCTTCTCCTCCTGCGTGGGGGCTGAGATCCGGTACACCATGTGGTTCCCTTCAACCACCCGGCCGTCTGCCTCCGTCTTGCAGGCTTTGATGAGCTGCCCCTTGTTGTTGGGGATGTAGAGCTCAAAGCAGTTCTGGGAGGCATGGGAGAGGAAGGAAGCGGGTGAGAGCCAGCCTAGGGCCAGAGGAGCCCCCCACCGCGGCAGGAAGGGGTAGAGAGGGCCTTACTGGTTTCCGGGGGTCGTCCACCTCCCGGATGCTCAGATTCTCCAGGGGGATGATTCCTCGGGGCTCCTTGTCCTGAAAGAGCAAGTTGGACAGGACTCGGTCAGCCTGTCTCCACCTCCCTCAGGCCCAGGAGTCCCGGCCCCTGAACCCTGGTCCCTCCTCCCAGGACCCCAGAGCCAGGCGGGCTGTGTCCTCACCGTCGTGTACTCAAAATAGTAGAGGCAGTTGTCTGTGAGGATGAACCAGCGCCGCTTCCACGTCTTCACCCGGCCCCCTGAAAGGGAAGGGGTGGGAGGGGGCCTGGGCTCAACAGGGGGACAGGGCCTCGGGGAGGGCGGGGAGGGGAGTGAGGCAGAGCCAGCGCAGGGAAGGCGGGGCTGCGGGGCGGAGGACAAAGCCATGTGCGGGA